TATCTAAGTGCATGGAATACTCCTATACCTCTCTAGAAATGTTTCTATCTTATAGAATAAATTTTATGCACATTTAAAACACTCAAAATAATTAATTTGCATAAAAATTACTATTCATGCATTGAAAAGCCAAATAAAATATTTACTAAACACAAAAAAATTCCTCCAAATGCACAGAATATTCTAGCACTCCTCTAACAAATATTCTATGCATAAAGAATAAGTTTCACACATATTTAAAATATATTAATTCATTTAGTCATCGGTTCGGGTTATTACAAGTAAGTCATGCCATCTTCCGGTAGAGTTGGAGTGTAGGACATACTAGGCGATAAAGCAATGCAACATAGATATGGATGTGGCTGGTGAGCAAAGAAAATTATAATTACAAGAACTTGAGGAGATCAACAATGATGCCTATGAGAGTGCAAGGATTTATAAGGAGAAAACCAAAGCCTTTCATAATAAGATGATCTACAAGAGAACTTTTTTATTGGAATTTTTTTTTCTTTTTCCATGTAAGGTTAAAGCTCTTTCTAGGTAAGTTGTGTTCACATTGGGTTGAATCTTTTTTCGTAACCACTATTTTTCTCTATGGTGCAATAGAAATTCGGAGCTTGAAAATGAACAGAGTTGTTTAAGGTGAATGGCCATTGGCTCAAACCTTATTATGAGGGCTTTTAGCAATGCAATGTCGAGGTGGTGAAGTTGGCGGATCTAGTTTATGAGGATTGATGGCTAAAAAGATAGTTGATCTAATGACGTTAACCAAATGAACTCGCTTGGTAGGTAACTCAAGAAACCAAATTTGCTTTTCTATTCCCTTCTTTTTTATCCCTTTTTTTTTTTAGGAATTTAGGGTTTAAGTTGTTTTGTTAATTTTTTTCAATTAATTTTTCTATTAAAAAAAAAAGAATGCCAGGAGTAGTATGATATCCATCTTACTTGATGATTGATTTAGAATTTTAACAAGATCTTATAAGAAGTTGAGATTGTTTTGAACATTATTATTATAGAAGTTCATGCATAATAGAGAAATTTATGTGCCTTTTTCTATTAAGTTTGATTTTTAAAGTAATATTTATTTTGAAATTACCTTTTGAAAAACTAGGCCTAAGCATGGTTTAAGTAAAAAGAGATTTTCTAGTTAATTATTTAATTTTGAGAAAGAAAAAGAAAGCATTCTAGTTGAAATTTTTGATTGAATTATAAATCTACTCCAATATTTTGAGTTGCTTAGTAACTAAGGATATTCATCATTAATGTTTGCTTTTACGTCAAATGGCAACTTGAATCATGAGTATGCAAAGCACTATGAGTTTATAACTTGTTGAGTAACCTATTGCTTTTATCATAAATGTTAGTATTCATGTAGGGAATAATTTTTAAAGGCCTTAACGAAGAATTGGAATGCTAAAAAAAAAGTCTCGATTTACTACTTTTGCTTGTAGTAGTGGAAGGGGATAATGGCAAGATAAGTATTGCATGTTTAAATTATGTTGATTCTGAAAGTGCATAAATTGATTTAGAGACATACATGGATATGAGATTAATATTTTAAACATGACTGACTTGATTATTTGATTTTTTTGGGTTCCGAATTAAGATTTAATGCTTGAAGGATATTTATACTTGCATGTCATTCCTCTAAGATTTTATGGGTATATTTTTTAAAAACTCTCATGAAACACAACTCATCCATTAGAAGTGACCTATGGATTTAATGGCTTGTCACATAATCTAATTGTGATTCCTACGAAAGTGAGTTAGGAAGTATTTTAGTTAGTTTGCTTGCTTTGCTCGAGGACTAGCAAAAGCTAAGTATGGAAAAATTTGATAGAGACATAATTTGTATACATTTATTCTCTATTCACTTAGTCTATTTTTTATGTTTTATGTCTTATTGTGCTCATTTATTACCAAATTAATGAATAGGATATTAATTGGAAAGTTTCAAAAAATTATGCTTTAAAGTGAAATTTCCAGGATCTTTGTATAAATGACATTTTGGGCTTTATGCAAGATTTAGGTATGGAAGATGAGTCCGGAATGAAAAGTGGTCTTCAAAAAAGTTATAGAAGACATCTTGAAAATTCCGGAAAGGTTTGATTGGTCAAAATCCAAGGTCGTTGAGTCTTTAAGGCATAGGTGTAAAGTTAAAGCTAGAAGCTGGAAAAAAATTTGACGGACCACTGGAGTTTAAATAGAATGTAATTTAGGTTTTTGAAGGCCAAATTAGGTGATTAAAAATCCCAAATCAATAAAAAATTTTGGGTTGCAACTCTCATGAAGAACTTAAGCCCAAACCAAAGTCAGTTTATGCTTGTAATTTCAGCCATAAGTTGATTCACTAATTTTGTTTTCTATTCTGTTATGAAAACTTTATGACTTTAGGAATCTGTAATTAGGAAAAGATATGAGGAATTATGGGCTATGATTCTAGTGAGTTCGGCATCTAAAATAGGGTATAAATAAGTCTCTTTATGGCTAGGTTAAGAAGATGTTTTTGGACATAATTTTGATAAAAGTTATTTTTATTTTTCCGCACTCTTCATCAATATGTGCGGCTAAGTTTCTTTTTGTTAGTTCAAGTGGATTTTGAAGCCCAATTCCATGTCACCGATGTAATCAATTACGAGTAATATTGCTCTTATCTTTGTTTCTTATTGAAATTGAGTATGTTATTCTATATTATTGGTTTTTGATTTCTATTTGAATGATTTAGTAAAGGCCCGCTAAGTTAATTGGATTGAAATTAATATGTTAGATTCAAAGATGATGATACATAATTGTCCTCTTTCTAATCAATAAGTAATGAATGGTAATAGAAAATTATGGACAAGTTTTCATTCTATTACCGTGAATAACATACACTCGAACTAAATGATTCGAACTTGTGGGATTGTTAATTAGATGAATCTATTTTTCCTCTTTCTTAAGGCTACATCGAATTAAACATGGATGGCCTTATTCTAGGTTGTTCAAAGATTAGAATCTAACTGAAAAGCTTATTTTAGTAGTGATAATCTAAGGGAAAACTTTTGTTAATAGAGTTTGTTGTTGCCTAGGATCAATAACTCCATTAAAGAAGGTAGAATAAAATTACGATTGTTTATGTCCATTGCATGTGTGGGTGGAAATTGAACCAAGAACTGGAGTCTTTAATCTTATTATCTTTTCTTTAAAATTCTATTTGTTTAAATTGCAGTAAGTTACTCACAAAGCAAACCCCCCATTTATTATGTTTTGTTGATTTGTTTTTTGTTTTTGTTGAACCCTTATAATCATCAAAACATAAATATTGATGAAGTCATTCTCGGTGGGATCGACCTTTACTCATCCTAACTATAGTATAGTAATCGAGTTTAGGAAGGACTTAATTAATTTGGAACACTCAATGCGCTACCGGTGTTGACATTGAAAAATGAGGAGGGTGTTTTGTTTTTAAATGCTTGAAATATTGAGTGTTTTGAATTAGAGTTTTTTGTATTGTGATTTGAATTTGGATATTAGGAATTAGATTTCGGGTGTTTAATCACTAGAATTGTGTGTTTTGAATTGGATTTTTGTTGGTTGCATTAGATTTTAGTTATTTTGATATGTTTAAGGTATTATATAGACCAAAAGTAACGGTAACTAATGGTCATATTTCCATATGAAATGGCTCTTTTTCCTTCTTTTTTAGAAAAAAATGCTTCTAAAGGGCATTTTGACCATTAAAAAATATAATGGAAAACTTGTAATAACTTGAATATTTTTTTTACCCAAAAATTTTAGACTGATATTGGAATTATAATACAAGATATTTTCTAGAACAAAAATTAAAAATATAAAGTGTAAAGTAGAATTTTAAAAACTAAGAATGCAAATTGTGTATGTCACTAAACAACAAGATGTTTAAAGTAATTTACCCAATACGAAAAAAAAAAAACATAAAGTTGAAAATAATAACTTACAAAAGTAAATTAAAAAAGAGATTTGGAGAGAAAAAAGACTTGAGAAAACTTGTATTAAAATTATGTTACAAGACCAGCTAAAGAAATTACAATGAGTAAAGCTCCTTTAAATACTATTCTAAGATCTAAAAAACTTACTTGTGATGCAAATAAGAAATAAAACCGACCTAGAAAAAGGTCTTCAATTTGAAAAAAAAAATACTAAATAGGAAAATTATTAAAGCCCAAATTCAGACAAAGAAACAAATAATCTAAAGAAAAAGGCATTTTGAATCATTTACAAGAACTAAACAAGAAAATTTTGAGTTTGGGAAAATGCAAAATCTTCAAGAATAATGTTGGTTGCAAATAAACGGGCTGTAACAATATTGATCATGTTCCAAATGGATTCAATAAACAGTATTCTTCAATCTGAATCGTTTCAACTGTTAGCCTGTTAGTTGATAATTTTTTTGTTAAAAGAAACATGCATGTACAATGATTGAAATGTTTATTTTGTGCATGAAGTAGAATTCACATTGATGTAGAGATACAGAAACTATAATGGGATTCACTCCAAAATGCAACGCCCCGGATTTGATAGAGGAAAAGGAAAATAACCTCATATGACACTCTAAAACACAAACAAACAAGTACACGTGTCAATTAAATAGGCAATGTAAGAATTAGCCATATTCTTGTTTGGGTATCAGAAAGTCAAAGCAATAATGAACAGCCAATGACAAAGTCAAACCGCATCACCACAATTACGCATGATTTTACAGCCAAGAACCAACGACTCGTTGAAAAAACATATGATAATACAGCTAACACTAGAAACAGAGGGGGAGACAGAAAGGCAAAAAGAAAAGAAAAAGAAAAGGGAGAGTGCAAACGAAGTGCAGCCTCCCTTTTCTGATATCTCAAAATAAAATACAACCAAAAAAAAAAAAATTCAATTAATAATTCATATCCAATATATATACTCATTTCTTCTGTTTCATGGTTGATGTATGTAATATCTCAGATCTGGCTGCTAAATTATTTTTCGTCAAAAATTTTAGTATGGAAAATATTAGCCGCGTTCGAGCATTTTCATCTCCAGAATTGCTACCCCTTCCAACAAGTTCAGCTGAAGGGCCAGAACATTATAGCTTAGAAGGTGACTGCATTTTCTTTTCTTCTTTTTTTTTTTAAAAAAAACAGATCCATGGCATGACTAGATCATAGATATTTGAAGGAATATCCTTCCTGCTGCTTATAAATTTTCTGTCTTTAATATGATGGATAATTAAGGTATATATGAGTCTTCCTGATAGCAATTTGCAGCATGCATGTGGCTATTTTTCTTTGCAGGATAGGAGTAACTTGTTCTTTTTATATATTATACAATAAATAAATATTCTCTTCTGCCGGTACAGGTATTGCAACAAATGTGAAGCTGCTCTTAAAACTCATCCAAGATCATAATGAAGCGAGCACTAAAAGCCATGATGACCGCAAAATGCAAAGGATCGATGGAATGATGACCATTCTGGATGATGTTAAATTTCGAATCCAAAAATCCCAATCTGGCAAGAAAAAGATACCTCAGCTTAGGCGGTGCAACACAGATCTTCGAATCAGTGGAGCTCCGGTAGACCAGAAACCGCAAGAATCTGCAAGTGATGAGAAGGAGCGATTAAGGAAACAGCTAAATGCAAGTTTGGCGGCACGAAAGAGCCTAGAAATTATGTGTTCAAGCTTGGGAAAGGAAAAAGAAATCATGGCAGCCGAGCTTGCAAGAAAGGTCCATGAATTGACTGAAGCGGAGGAGCTTGTAAATGACCTCAAAGCCCAAAATGAGACATTGATGGCAAAACTTCAAGCTTGTTTCGCGGAGAAGAAAAGGAGTAATAGCAGAGGCGAAGCACAGGGGAATGCAGCACTCCAAGAACGTAACAGGGCACTTTCGCAGCAGCTCCTCAAGTCCCTTGATAGTTATCGCTCTTTAAAGAGAAAATACAGAGTCGTAAAAGAGGAAAACAGAGATATTTGCGGTACAATGGATGTAATTGGAAAGGACGTAGCTGCAGGGCTTGAAAGTATACGTAGCTTTAGGAACAGACTGGCCACAAGCAAAGATATTGAAGATGAGATTTCAACATTAGAGGAAATGTTTGAGCGTTTTGATATAAAGATCTCAAAACATAAGAACCGTGAATGTGCTAAACCAAAAGCTGAGATCAATACTAGCAAGCCTCCTGTTGCATAATATTAAGAAGGGTTTTTTATTATTATTATTATTATTCTTTTGTCTACAATTATTTATATCGGGTCAAAGTAGACGTGATCAGTGATATGTTGCACGCTGTAAATGTGAGTTTTCCACTGTACTCCCGAAACAGCCATGACAACTCCAAAATTTTGATTTCTTCTCTATTTTGAGTCTCGGGATCTAAGCTCTTAAGGTTTCCGATGCTTCTCATTGTGATGGATTCGGCAGACCTGAGTTCCCCCAATTTTATTTTGATCTTTCGTTATCAGGACCTCTTGTTGTGGTAAGTAATTCAATACTAATGTTCAATTATTAATGATCCTAGTCTTTCATTTAGAGAAATCACCGGTTAGATGCATAGTTTTAAATAGCTATCACGGTTGAAAAAACGATCACGATTATAATTACAAATCGCAGCTTATTGCAGTAGTAAAATAATATCACGAATGCATTAACAACTCGTTAATAAGTTTATTTCAATTCATATATTTTTAATAATTATTATTTATTAATAGTTTTACTAATTAAGATTATTAATAAGTAATAACATATTCTAATTTTCATAAATTTATTCAATACCGACTATATTTAATGTAAGATATTTTCTTTCATAATTTTTTTCATCATCCTTATCATGATGTAAATTTATTTTTTTATTTTTCTAATTTTTAGAACAAAATTGAAAACAAATTAAAAAATAACATAAAATTAAAAAATATTACTAAATAATTGGTTTTTGAAACAAGTACCAACCACTTTATTTTTCCAAACTAAAGAAATTAATTTATAATTTATTCAATTGAAACTTGTATTTGTTGCCCAGCACAAAAGACAGATAACCTAAAGTAAATTATACATTAGTCTCTCTAGTTTTGATAAATGAATTAATTAGTGTTTAATGTTTTAAAAACTAATGATTTAATCTTTTGATTATGTTTAATATAATATATTTTATTCCACAAAATATTTTTTTCACCAATCTTTTCATGATACAAATTTATTTTTTCATTTTTTCAAACAAAAGGGGAAAAATTAGAAAATAACATAAAATAAACAAAAATAAATAAATAATTGGTTTATGAAATAAAAAGGACTAACTAATTTATTTTTCCAAAATAAAAACATTTAATATTTATTCAATTAAGCTTGCAACTCTAGTATTTGATTCTTATTCTCTAATAAAATAAACTCTCAAACTCTAAATCTAAAATTGTTCTTTTCTTATGTATAACACTGTTATATGTGTAAAATGACATCAAGGCACCCGTAATGCCAAACACCGATAACAAAATGCTCCGAAATCATTATATAATGACTGTTACATTATGTAAGAGCCATTTTTTAAAACCATGGTTAGATAAGGTTTACATATGACAGCTATACCCAAGAGCTGAGTAGAGGTAGATATTTAGTTCTGAAACAACAGATCTCCTGGACTTGATCATGGGACATGCCAAGGAATCTATTCTTAGATAACAGCTATGTGAAAATCATTGTAGAAAGGATGACTCCGATCAAGATGCAGCTGCAAACTATAGACTTAATTAGTTAGGATGGTCGAGCAAGAGTATTTGAAAACAACCTGCTCATGACTTGATGACTGAAAGAGACAATATTCATATACCTAAACTGCAACTTACAAAGCAGATATATTAAACAGTACAACTTTTCATTTATATAGTAAGTCACTTGGTATCAAGATGTTTAATGTACTTTAAACTAATTTGCCCTTGATGATAATTTATACCTTTGGCATGTCCACAGCATTTTGGAATATATATATATATATATATATATATATGTATGTATATTAGTCTCGATGAAACATTTACAGAGCTCTCAATATTGAAATACAAATTAGCACTAATGAGCCAATAATTTGCAGGCTGCAATAGAGTTCAAAACCCATTTATTGCTTACCGCCTTCGCTCCAGTTGAACTTGCTAGAGCTTCTGCATTAGACCACCTTCGGTTTAATATCATATTCTTTTTGCTAGGATCACACTTATCAGGCATCTCAAGGCTGTATATTATGAAAGTTGGCGATCTAGAAGAGTCCAGTAACAAGTTTCCCTGGGCTCCCGAAATGGGTTTTCTGTGCAGAATGGTTCCTCCACCAGCGATTAAAAGATCTTGTATATATCCCTTGTAAGAAGGTATAAAATCTCCCAGGAAATAGAACTTAAATCCCTCAAAAATGTTTGGTTGCTGCACATAATAATAGAAACAGCCAGTTGTGTTAAGAAGATTCATCATACGTGAACCTATAGAGCTCACTACGTGCATGCACAGTCTCACGTTGTTAGGACTAACACTTAACAGGTGATCTTGCCTTCATGCCAAGAGCTAGTGCCAACTTTTTCTTCATAAACCAAAGTACAGTTGCAGATAAAAGCAGAAAGCCTAATAGAAAATCTCCTAGCTCTAAGAAAAGATGCAGATTAAAAATCCAACATAAGTTGATCTCAAAACCAGAGGAGTTTATGAGTTCTATGATGGTAGAAGAATCTTGACAAAGATATAAAGTAAGACAAAAATAATACAAAAGTTTATGAAGCATGCAGGTTAGCAACGAACAAAACCATGCTGGAGGGAGATGGGGAGAGCCTCTTCCAACAATAGGTGAATTCATGGAAACCAAAAACAGAGCAATTCCCCAACAGTTTAAAATGACACTTGAAGAGAAGCAGGAGCAAACCTTGTTCAATAATCTTAGTCTTCCATTTCGTGGACCATCCTTGATTCCATGAATATCAGCAGCAATTTCGTATTGCATCTCTTCAACAAGTTTCATGGCTTTGATACAAGCCTTAACCCCTACAGAAAGCACAAACAAAGGGTTGAGTACAAGCAAAACCGCTAGATTCACATTCATAGATCAATCATCAATGCCCAATATTCAGTATCCGCTTCCTCTCCAGCATGCAGATAGAAGTATTAGGGTTCTGCATGTTTTATTCACGTAAGCTTGACCAATGCCACAAGTGGCACTCTAATCCCAAACTTTAAAAGCATCACACATGCATGTAACCATGATTCTTTAATGCACAAACAAATTAGGTACTTGAACTTTGAGAAACCAAAGCATTCCAAAACTTGAGCAGATAATTCATTTCGTAGAAACAATCATACTAACATTCAATGTTCACTATCCACTTCCCCTTCAAGATACCCATCAAAACCTTGAGGGTTCTTCTGCATGCACCATTTTCATCTGTTGATGCAATAACATGAGTGACACTTAAGTCCCAATTCTTCAAGGCTGTAACTCCAGATAAACTCTCAAACTCAGAAACAATTTCCTGCAGTAATCAAGAATATTTTGATTTAGGAAAAATAAATGTTTCAAAACCAGAAATCACATGCAGGTTTTCTATTACCTTTTCTCCAATTGTGAGAGCCGAACAGCAAAGAACCAACTTTTCATGTGTTACACATGATTTCCAACTTTCATGCTTGTTGATGTCATGTTTGAAAGTATGTTGATTGTACTGCCTTGGTGCTTGTCTGGAATAGGAAGGAGAATAAGTGAAAGGCATTTAGTATGATTTCCAAATAGCAGCTAGAGTCGGCTACTTATGAGATAATTTTTCCGGAGAATTTAGTATACCCTTTTGAAATGCATTTTTTCTTCCTTCTCTCTTGAGATCTTGTGCTTTCATTAGGCAACTTATAAGAGGCATGAAGAGGGCATAAGATGACAAAGTTTTCCTGTCCCATGAGATTTAAGAAAATATCAAAATGATGTTTGACATACAAAGCAATAGAATTTATGACACTTACGGTATCCCATCGACATTGACGAATCAAATTTGCACAGGGAACATGGAAACTCTTGCGACAACTCTTCTCGTAACATCCAAGAGCAGCACCTTTGAGTCCACAGCAGCAGCACTTAATTCTCCGACTCCTAGCTAATTCAGCTTCAAGGTTAATTGCATTATCATCCTCAAAGTAGACATTAGGCGCCCTGCAGACATGATTTTTTTTTTTTTAATTATATGATTTCCACAACAACAACATGACAGCATGGTAAGCTAAGAAACTTTCTCAAGAAATTAACCATTTTGTTAACACTCCTTACAGGCACATGACTTAAATTGATTAGAAAAAAACTAAAACTCAATAAATTGTCGATATGAGTTCCTTCGAAGAATTCTCTTACCACTCAGCACAGTTTCTATGAGAGTGTATGACTCTGGATCCACCATTATAATCTGCAGTCACAGGTATGCCATTGTAGTAGTGGATCATCTCTCCTGAAGCCTGTAATTTTGGTGGAAGATTCAGAAAAGGAATGGATTCAAAAGGCATGAGATACAGGGAAAAACAAAAAGAAGCAATTAGATCACACAAAAACGAGGGAACAAACATATACCTCTGAGTCCTCTGAAGAAAGACAGAAAGCACATTGAATATTATAATTAAGCTTCAATTTAAGCATGGCCATGTCATTTTCTTTGCAATGCTCCCCTAATGTTGCCGAATTATCAAGAGATCCAGTATTAAGACTGGCTTGAACCTTCTCAGCAGATTCGGTTGCCTTTGCAGAGTTGTTGTTAATGTTTTCAGTGGAGTGAGCTTCCTCTGCAAAGACAATGCCAGGACCTTCTTGATGGTCATTGACTAATCCATCTTCTAAGATACCATCTAATGAAACTTCCATGTTTTTCTTACATTTGAATTCTTGATAATCTTCTGAACTCAATGCAGACTTGACTTCTTCCCCTTGTTTGCTAGGTTTCCCATTGATATCTGAGATTTTTTTATCTTCAACCAGAGGGACAGATAAAAGGTAAACATGGGAGCTTTCATCGTTGTCCATATGGTTTTGATTTGAAAAGACTTCATTTATCATGTTTATCTCAATGGAATCCAGCTTTTGCTCCTTGCACTCGGGACTGATCTTCCCACTCCCATTCTCCTTCCTTTTAAGGTCACTGCAACCTTGTTTCTTATCTAATGAAATAGGCAGCTGATCCGTTGCCGTGTTTTCATCATCCATATCCAAAGTTTCTCTAACAGAAACAGAAGAAACATCCTCTCCTTTCAACCCACCATCCTTCTTATTCCACTTCTCAATTTCCTTCGATGTTAGAAAGAATTCCTTGCCTTCAAGTTCTTTTTCCATGGTTTTCCCAGATACTCTCTTTGCAGCAACAGTAACTTCCAAATCTTTATCTGCATTTTTCCGAGCACACTTCCTTAATGTTGCGTCCTTGGCAGTCCTACCTCTCTTATTGGATATATTACGCCCGATTTGGTTTCTTGCACTTTTAACTATTGCAGGGGAACGATTGACCAGCACGTCTTCAGAAACACCCATTCCCGGTTTGGTATTAACACATTTTTTGCTTTCATCGCTATGTTCATCATTTGCATTTGCACTCAGTGGTGGTGCCTCTGATTTACCTTCTTGAATTCCATTCATTTCCGTTGTATTTTCTGCCTATATTTTACTTAAAATTTCAGCAAAAGCCAGATAACTTGAGCACTATAAAACACCAGAATAAGACAAAATTACTTGGGTTGGATGAATACCTGAATCTTTGCTGGGCTTGAAAAAATTTCAGGAGAGCAAGCTCGTTGCGTCCATTCAAACATCTCGCTGTCACAAAAATCTGCAACATTTGATTTGCCACAAGCTGTCCCCTACATCATGTCAGAAAAACACCGGTAAGCAAACTGATGTGGTCAAACTAGATGTTAGGCGAACTTTACAACTTTGTGTATGATACATATTTTGCTTGGGTTAACTGTTTTGTTTTTAGGCTAGCATAAGCTACAGATAAAATTAAAATAAGAGTTGTGCTTCCAATAGACTGACATAAACTTGAAAACTTAATGAACTTTTTCTTCTTCCTTTTTTTTTTTTTTTCTTTTTTCAATATCCACTCTTAATTACTTAATAGTGATTGGATCTATATGCTTATTCTGAGAGGAAATGAAATGTTCACCAAGTGACTGTATATCTATTTATTTTGATGTGAAAAGCGGCAACAAAGCTCTATGAAAAAGTCTTAGCTCAATTTAAGAAATAGAGTGGAACAAGATTAACAAAAAAAAAAAAAATCACACTAGCTATGAAACAAAACAAAAAAGAGTAATTGGCAGCTCATAAGACACAAGTATAGCAGCGAACTAGTAAGTCACATGAGAAATTATAATAAATTTGAATCGGATAATGAACTGAAGATGAACTCACTTTCGGGTATGATGCAGAGGCATTTTCATCATCTGAGTCTTTGATATCACTGAAAGTAGGAACATTTGGTGGTGTGATATCCAAAAGCTGATCCACATCAGTGTGCTGACTTGACTTCTCTCCATCTTCATCTCTCAGCCAGAAGAAAGGCGATAGTGTGGGCTCTCCCTTTTCATTGACAATAGGGTTCTTCCTTGAGACTGATAAATCATTTTTAAAGTCACCCTTTTTGTTTTCTCTTGATCCAGTTTGTAGTTTTTCAGGTTGTGCCAAAGAGTGTGAAACAGAGCATTGCGGCACCTGAACTCTCTTCTTGGTTGGAAAGGAAGGTTTCGAAGTAATGGGAGCAGATAGTTCCATGTGGGATTTATTAAGTTTCCTCGAGTCTTCTTGTTTGGATAGTATAGATTGCTCCCCTAATGTATCCTCACAAATCCAATCAATATCGTCTCTGCCGCAATTCGTATTACCTCCTACTTGCTTGTGTTCGTCTGTAACATAACAAAAAGAAACGATAAAAACAAATTATCCAATATTATTACCCTTAAAACAATATGGTTAATAAATTGTGAATTGATAAAACTTCATCCAAGGGACCGAAACAGAATGTTATTCATCACAAGTATAATTAGTGCAAGAAACTGTGTTGGAAGTTGAACCAAAAGTAAGTGCATAAAACCAAAATTTGCCTTGATTCCTTTATGCATTACCTGATAATTTAGTTAATGGTGGTGAATTCTGAGTGACAAATATATTGAATCCTGAAGCAATTTCCATGCTTTTGTAAATGCTCACCAAGTTATCCATATGAGGAGCAGCGCGAACCTCTGCGGAAAAAAAAATTACAAACAAACAAACACCATCTCTCTTTACTCAAAGATTTTAAATTAAAAGAAATACAAATAGAAATAAAAAAATTAGTATGTCCGGTACCTCTTCGTCGGTATGGCACTTTACAAACTGGACAAGCAGAACCTGATTTCATCGATTTCATAATACACGAACTGAATGGAAGCAAAATATACATATTACCACTCAGAATTCAAAATTTCTAATAGCAAAAAATGCAAAGAGATTGAAATTGAAACCAACAGCAGGAGTAAAATATGCTTTACTTGCAGAAAACATGATTGCATGTAAGTGAAACTGCAGAATTAAGAAGACTCAAGCTGCAAGAAATTAAACAAAATTATCAGATTGAGATTTAAAAAATAAAAAATAAAACCCTAATTGATTTATTTATCATTTACCAGATGGGGCACTTGAGCTCTCTGCCCATTTTCTCAAGATGAGTTGGATCTCCCATTTTCTACGAGTTAGATAGATGACTGACTCACTTTTGTCTTTCTGTATTGAAAATGAGAAGAAGACTGACTCACCGACGGCGCTCCCCACCCTGTGAATTGTTAGTATTATTCTTTCTTTTGAAATTTCCCTTAGCCCGCCAAAACGCGCCTTTACTGCTTTTTAGTAATTTTCATGCGCGGCAAACACAATAATTCTATTGGGCACCGACCAGCCTCAAATAAAAATATATATTTTGTAAGAGTTTATGTTAAATTACAGCAAAAAATGAAAAACAAAAAACCTACCTTTCTTTTTTCTTTTCTAGTTTTATATCTTATAATTTCTCTAATTGGTCCTAAAAGAACACTTCTTTAATTTATTTTATTTATTTATTGAGAATTAGAAGCCTTGTACATACAAAACACATCCAATCAAGTTAAATACTAATAGCCAATTACCATCACTTGAGTGGTTAGCTGTTTTAGAATAAATACGTTATATTATTTTATTAAAATATTTTATGTACAAGTAAATGGCTACATTTGAAGAAAAAGAAAAACGCAAATTAATATTATAATTCTTAAAAGTTGAAATAAACATTAAATTTATATATGAAGTAATATTTATTTTATTCCGTGGGGATTTGAATATTGAGAAAAAAAACTAGGTTTTAATCTCATTGAATTAGGAAAAATCATGTAGTATAACAATATAACATTATATAGTTTGAGTTAAAATATAGATAACTAATGATTTATTTAGTTGATATTGTTAAAAAAGTGAAAAAGACAATATGTCATTTGTTAGATCCAAACTTTGAAAAAGACTCAAGAGCCCAATTTGCCTAACAAGCATGTGCTTTTAATTAAATTCAATTAGAAGGCTGGTTGATCATTGATTTTAAAATCAAGCAAACCATACAATCAAACTTAACTTAGCATTTGTGTATTTAAATAAATTTTTTAGCAAAGTATAATTTGACTTTTAGCAATTTTAAGTTTTTTTAGTAATTATTTAATAGAGAAGGCAATCCCTATTATATAGTACACGGCTCACGGGCCTCCTAGTGAATAAAAAAAAATCAAGTAAACTAGTTACTTAAAAATGAATATGTAAAGATTTTTTCTTACACCTATGATAGGGAAATGTGTGTTAGCGAATTTGAATGCACTTTTTGACATACAACAAATCACTAACTCCAAATTATCAAATAATTCACAAACTTTCTACTCCGCATTCTTTTGTACGAGCTTCAACTAAGAAAAGTTTGTAACAAAAAAGTAAACAATGATTGGGACACTTTTTGCAAGGTAGTTAATCTTTCAATTCATAAATAGATCAACCAAATTAGCTTGTAAACATAAAATACAACTAATCCTAATGGTCTAGGGTTTTATATTATAAATAAAATAAATTGAAATGAATAAAAAGGCTACTGTAGGCTTGAAAACTCCTGGCGAGAGAACCACGACCTCTCAAGTTGGTTGGATTACGGGATTGTAGGGACAATGATTTGAAATAAAATATGATTTAAGATAGAAATCAAACTTTCCAATTTAATAGGTAATCAAAACAATAGGATTAAATCAAGAACTAAAGAATTAAACAAACAAAACACTAAGAACAACATGCTATAATATGAACAAAAACCTATTAATTATGAACTTAAAATCTTTCTTATACAATAATACGGTCTTTACAATACTTGAATTCAATGATCTTACAATAAAAGAGAATTGTGAATATTCACAAATGAATACTCCAAACATAACGGATGTTGAAGGAATTAGGAATGATGATGATTGCGAGCACATATGGAGAATCAAGAACCAACTATCAACTTAAGAATTATCACCTACTTATTATCTTCTCGCAAATCACTACCTGCAAGTCGTTGCCCGAAGTTATTACCCAGTAGCTACTACCTAACAAGTTTCAAGAGTAAAACTTATGAAAATGATCTTTAAGTCGTTTACAACTTTCAAGAGTTTGCTTGTGTTTTTTTCTTCCTAATTGCAATTAGTATTTATTGGTCTTTTGCTCTTCCATCACCTCTAGTAATGGACCATTCTTGCTTATGCATAATGTAGGGCTTCATGTTTTTCTTTTCTTATGCTACAATGCATTAGTGCTTTTTTTCCTTGTACTACGAGTATCCCGTTCGTAATTTTTGTGATGTAATCTCTCACGTTTATTCTAATTATATAGATTGTGGATTATTGTTATTGGATTTTTTTGTTTTCTAACTACATGTACATTACTTGGTGCTGATCACTTTGCCCCTTAAAAGTAGGATTTTCCCCACATTTTTGTCTAGCTTTTTCTTATTAAGAGTCCATTGAAGTGTGAATTTATTTCACACTTTCTTGGTTATAAATTATCTTGGTTTAGAATGTTTTTTTATGTTTCTAGTTAAACTATTTAAGTATTTTATGCTCTTTTTCTATTTATTTAATCTTTGAAATTTCTTGTTATTTTAAGGTCTTTAAGTGAATAATTAAACTGAAAGTAGAGTGATTGAAAGAGGCCAATAGTTGGGCAAAGATTGAAGGCATGAAAGCAAACTTAGGCAAATTTTCAAATGTTGGTAGAATTGACCTCTAGAATAAAATATGGGAATTTTGCATTCTTAGAATTCCAAAATATAAAAGAGGTCTTTTTGAAGTTTGAAATAGACATCTTAAGCTTTTCAAGTTAGGCTTATGCACGTAATTTCAAGTTGGTTTGGGCTTTCAAGCTCTATCTCAAAGTCAAGTTAGGAAACTTGGTTTGGGCTTTCAAAATCTATCTCAAAGTTAGGTTAGGAAACTAGATTTTTGTCACCATTTGAGCACTACTTGGGTTGTAGGCCATAATTAGAGCTATTTACACGGGTTATGTTTGTTCTTTAGCTTTTTGAAAAGATAAGACATGGAACGAGTAAGTTTTTTGAATAAACCAAATGTTAAAAATGAAGGATCATGCATCTTATGAAGGTATAGAATAAAATAAAATTTTCCTCCATCTAAGGCACCTAAGATCAAATTGTTGAATCAACTAATCATACATACATGAATTAAAAGTATGAGTAAAAGATTTACCTCTTGTAGCATAGATTTAGCCTTTGTAGAAAGGAACCGTCTAAGTATCTAGCTTCTATCGATAATCCATGTAGCTTAAACACCCATAAAAGAAGCCACGAAATCGTAGAGTGCTAGTTTCAATCCTTTTGTATATTTTATTTGCTTTCTAAAAAAATTAATTATGGTTTTTATGGCAACTCAAGCTTTTTGGGAGAGAAACGCTTTCTCCTTTCTCCTTTTTCCTTTTTTTCTATGTGTGTGTATGTCATATCCACTCTTTATCGCCTCTCTCCCTTTTATTTATATAGGGGATGACGTCCTTGTCCTCTAAGGACAAGGAGTTGCAATATGTGTGGGCTTATTTGATCTTATCCTTATAATCTCTAAGTCTTATCCAACGGGGCTCAAGTTTATCCTCCAACTAAAATATCTTGCGAGACTTTTAAATTAAGGTTATTGCCCCAAACTCTTTTGGCCCAATTAATCACCAATAAATTTGGATTATTCCAATAAATTGACTAGATATTTTTAGGAAGCCCTTAGGAAATAATTTTCAAAATACCCTTAAATCTAAATTAGGAAACTAATTTTCCTCTTAAGTAATTTACTTCCAAATTTGAAACTGGCTTCCAAATTAGAAAAATGATTTCTAAAAAAGAAAACTTTTCGTTTTAGGAAATTTTTTTCAAAACAAAAAGCTTTCAATTTTTGAAAACTTTTTCCAACATAAGAAAATTTCAAAATTGGAAACCTTTTTCCAAAATCTTTGCTTCTTTTTTATGTGTGTAACTCAATAGACTCCTAAATATATTGGTAATGTATCAAAAATAAAAGACACCTCTATTATCTCCCGATACATATATTAAGATTGACTTCTAACAAGACATCATGATTCTCTAATTCTCTAAAAGGATTAATTAATCCATAATTATCTTTCATAAGCATGGTTATCATATAATTCAATCTCGATGTTAATTTATTACGAGTGTGATCTCGAACTTAGTTTATAATCTGTTCGATTATGATCACATAAATTTTCTTTGATTCTTAAATGTCTTAGCTCTAAAGTAAACCAACTATACTCTATTAGTATACTCTCACTATGGCCACGATTTTTTAAGCGGACATTCATTAAAGTGTAATGTATAACTCCTTTAGCATACAAGGAATGACATGTCCTACCTTAGTCGTCTACTTATATTCATTAAATTCCTAGTGCAACTAATGAATCATCCACATGCGACTCTTAACTAAGCCCATCAAAATAAGTGTTAAAGTAAATAAATCCTTTAATAAGATAATTGTGATGCATTTAAGTCAAAAGATTAGTTGTACCCATCTCGTATGAGATTCCCATAGATTAAAATAAATGGGTTCTCACGGTAAGTCATGTCCGAGTGATATGTTTTTTAACATTAATCACCTAAGTGCTTGCTTTGGCATAGCACTCACAAGTCTTACCATATATAGTCAATGTCTATTCTTGACCATGCTACAACTTGAGGTATTTAATGATATCATTTAATGATATCATTTAAGTACATTAATATTTATCTCACATCTTTTGATCTATCATTATCGTTATGCATATCTAATTCTATCAAAATATAGATGATAAGAATTAATAAAAAGATTTTTTTATTAATTAAATAAAAGCTGTAATATTATAATAAGTCAAACCATCCAAAAAAGATTGGATCTTCGGCACCTACACTAATAATCTCTCACTTACGCCGAGTCAACTAGCAATGTCCCTTTTGCTCGACAATCGAATAAGGATCTCATGTTTCAACCTGTGATAGAGGCTTAGTTCGGGGGTCGGTTATGTTGTCATCAATATAGACTTTTTCTATCCTTATATTACAATGATGGATAATCTCTCTAATTAAGTAGTAGTGTCGTAGTACATGCTTGGACCGTTGACGAGATCTTAGTTCTTTAGTTTATGTTATGGCTC